TAGATAGATAGATAGATAGATAGATAGATAGATAGATAGATAGATAGATAGATAGATAGATAGATAGATTTACTAATCATATAGGGAAATCTCTAGGGCCATATACAAGGCTTTTTTAAGCCCCATGTAACTCTTTTGTGTCGTGTTGTATGATTCTGCCTTAATGAAGTTTGTTTGTTTTTTAATTCATGGATATCTCAACATGAATGCACTGGAATCTTTTATAGAACCTCAGGGAATTTCCTGGGAATCCCCAGTGGAAGACTTCTCAGTTTCTGATTCTCCAGTGGAACTGGAACCAAGGAAAGACATCCAAGCAGAGCTGCCAAAATTGACCATAGATGATTTTAACTTGCACAGAATGTTGGGGAAAGGAAGCTTTGGCAAGGTAACTGGTGGGCGGGAGGGAGAGTAAAAACTTCAATTTTGAAATGGGGGGGTGTAGCCATTTCCACAGTTCTGCCCTTCCCACTCCCCAATCTTCACTTCCTTCACTCTTGAAATGCTAATATGAAGGGAGAGCTGGGTAGCTGCCAAGCCACCATTCCCCTGCTATATTGAAAAGACCCTACGAAACAGGAGCGAGGAAAAGAGGTGAAGCAAAATTTCCTGCCAATGGGAAACCCGCTCTCTCGTAAGCTGTGCAGAGTTGAGGTGATACAAACAAAGAATCCACCTTTGCTATGATTTCAAATGCACCATTCCTGGCCCAGAAATAATTTGACTCAGCTGCTAAATATTCCTGATGCTGTGGTCCATACAGGTCCACCGCTGATTACGAATTGATGCAAAGCCCTGGTGTGCGTATGTGTAAATTATCTTTCCAATTCTATTACTTTGCTAACTAGCCTGTTTGTTGTTGATATTTTTGCTCCAGGTCTTCCTTGTTGAACTAAAAACTACAAACCAATTTTTTGCCATGAAAGCGCTGAAGAAGGAGGTGGTACTCATGGATGATGATATCGAATGTACCATGGTGGAGAAGCGTGTTCTCTCACTGGCTTGGGAGCACCCATTTCTCACCCATGTCTTCTGTACGTTCCAGACTAAGGTAAAAATATATTAATCCGTTAACCAATTCGACCAGATCACCTAGGTGGCTCAGAGAAAGAATGCTTGCTTTGTGGTTTTGGCATTCGGAAGCTGTGTTTGCATAATGTGCTTAACTTAAATTAAATTACTGGATTCACCCATTTTCTGAGTTTGCACAATACACAGATTCATCCGCTAAACAGGCTGAGCTGGTACCAAGTGCCAAGAAAACTAACCGGGTTTAACCCTAATGAAGCATAGCCTGTTTTCAAATGCAGCAGTAGTAGGGCTAGGCAGACTTTGGATTTAATTTCAAAAAGAGGGTTTGCACAAACAGCGGTCACAAGGAGAGCGCCTGGTTGCAACCCTTTAAAGCAGCTGCATCTTTTTCTTGACGACAGTGCTGAGCAGGGAGACCCGAGTTCAGGTCCTTATCACCCATGGAGGTTTCCTGAGTGGCTTTGGGCCAGTCCCTCTCTTTCCCCCCAAAAGTCAGTGTGGAGTAGTGAAGAAGGTGCTGGTCTTAGAGAGTGGGAGACCGAGGTTCTTGCCCATCTTGCCCACAGAAGATTCCTGGAGAACTTTGGGCCAGTCCCTTCCTCTCAGCCCGACAGGGTGGTAGAGTGGAAGCAAGAAGACACAGTTTCAAGTTTTCCCTAAGCTGCAGAAGCTTCCGTGGAGAGATGGGGCAGTGACTCACGCTCAATCTAACATCTCTCACAGGATTGTTGACCTGCATATTGCAGTTGTGTACATAAGGATCTACTAAATGAATATTGTCTCAAACTTTTCTTCTCTAATCTGATCTGCTCCAGATATGTTGGGACGGTAGGCTGCAGTCCCAAATAATCTGGTAGCATCAAGTCTATCTCTAGGGTTTTTGTCCAAATACTAAAGGACATCCTTTTCTCCTTGCTAGGAAAACCTCTTTTTCGTAATGGAGTACCTCAATGGAGGAGACCTGATGTTCCATATTCAGAACTGCCACAAATTTGAAATTGACCGAGCAAGGTAAGGTGGTACCTGGTTTTGTCAAGCTCCTCCATCAATGTCTAAACCTTTCTCTCAGTTTTAATCTGGGTTGAAGACTGGATCAGAGAGGAAAGAAGAAGAATTGCAGCCTTGCCTGCCTCCTCCCAAGCATCTCCAAGTCTTCTGATGTCACGGGCCAAAGCTCTGGTACAGCTTCCCCAAGTCGGTGTCCTTCAAAATGGGTTGGGACTGCAATTCCCAGAATTCAGCAACCAGTAAGAGTGGGATTCTGGGAACTGCAGTCCCAACATAAGGCTCCATCTTGGGGAGGACTGCACAGGCATCTGAAAGTATCAATTCCAGCATCCAAATTTTGATCGTATTGTAACGTGCAGAGTGAACACCTGAACCGTTGAGTCTTTTTTGTCCATAGAAGATCTCTCAGCAATTAAGAAGCCTGGAAAATCCAAGGAATAGGTCCTCATAAACTGCACTCATAAGAAACTTAACCTGGCTACTGAATTAACCCATTTTCTGGGTGCCCACCATCCATGGAAGATCTGAAAGTCCAGGTTGGGGACTTCCTCATCATGGAGAAAGTCTGCCTATATGGGGACTTCATGGCACATAACCAATCAATCAGTCAATCACCATCCATTAAACAATAAACTCTGCACAGACTGACATCACACTAAGCTAGGAGGAGTCTGTGCGGGGCAGATCAAACCAGTCAAGATGATGACTTCCATCTTGACTTTTTTGATGTGCCCACTAGAGACAACCCTATTTCTATTCTGCACTTTATTATTAGATTGAATAGACAAATAGAAATAATAACAACAATAATATCATCTCACCCAGCCAGTAGGATTCTTCTTTTGTTCCTGTTGTGAAAAAAGAAATGTCTTTACATTTTATAGGTTCTATGCTGCTGAAATCATTTGTGGGTTGCAGTTCCTTCATTCCAAAGGCATCATATACAGGTAGGGCTTACTTTCTTAATCCAGAAATCTTGCCACTTCTAAATAAATGATCAGAGTGCAGAGAATTGGATACCGTGAGGGTTCATTGTTTACTAAAAGCTTGTAAGAGTTTAGATAGCTCTTCTAAAGTGAACACAAGATACCGTGTGTAATAAATGTACAAAAATACCACCTTAATACTCATGTTTTGACCTTACTTAAAATTGCAATTGCAAATTGTTTCTAGTGTTTGTATTCAGTTGCAAAATTCTTTTAAGTCAGCGAGGTCACATTTTACACTGTACGCCCCATTGTTATTTGTGTATCTCTCTGTGCGTGTCTACTTCAGATCGCTTTCCCCTTAGGATAGGGTTTTTGTAAAGAAAAAATGGCATAGTAAGAGTTAACATTGGTAAAAAACAGGTCTCAGGTTCAATCTTGATTTCTTTGGAGACAATATTGAGGTAAATGTGTCACAAAAGAACTTTCGGAATGAAATTATTTAGAAAGATAGTCCTCTCTTTATATACCTTCTTCATTCCAAGCACAGCAACGTCAAATGAGAACTATGTGCTCAAGGACACGTGTGCAAATTCCACGGCCCAGTCATTTCAAATAAATGTAAATCAACCTTCCTCAAGGGGATGCCCTTTACTTGTCCGGACTTCAACTCCCAGAATTCCCCAACCAGCAAGACCCTTGGTGGAACTTTAGGACTTCAAGTTGATATAGCAGAATGGAGCGCATGTTGGAGAAGGCCAACACAGATGGACAATCTCACAAAAATAAAATCAAAGTCTACCATAAAGTGTTCTGTATACAAATAGTGGGAGCCAGGTTGGTGTAGTGGTGAAGGCATCAATCTAGAAACCGGGAGACTGTGAGTTCTAGACCTACCTTGGGCACAAAGCCATCTGGGTGACCTTGGGCCAGTCCTTCTCTCTCAGCCCTAGGGAGGAGGCAAGGGCAAACCACTTCTGAAATCTTGCCAAGAAAACTGCAGGACTAATCCAGGCAGTCACTGGGAGTCAAGACTCGAAAGATAGAGAGAGAGAGATCCTTCGAGTCTTGACACGTACATACATATACAAATAGTACATAACAGCTGGTTGTAAAATGTGGACATGTATTGTTGCTTTCCCTGAAATGTTGGCCAGTCTTTGGCCATGCTGGCTAGGAATTCTAGGAATGGCAGCCCCAACTGATTGGGAGATGCAGAAGGCTATCTTAAGTTACACAAGAGAAGGGACTTTTGAAGGAAAAGACCTAACCCTTCCAAATCTTTCAGGGACCTCAAGCTTGACAATGTTCTCCTAGACAAAGAAGGTCACATCAAGATTGCTGATTTTGGAATGTGCAAAGAGAACATATTTGGGGATGCTAAAACCAGCACATTCTGTGGGACCCCCGACTATATTGCCCCCGAGGTAGGTGGGACTTTATTCCTCCAAAATTTCTGCTGGCCAAGGGGGCTAAGGAATCCACAGTCTCAAAACCAGAATGTCCATCTCTTTTGGTCTGAGATGCTACTGCCTGACTCTCAGACAATGGGCCAAAAAGAGAAGGAAAGAGGATGGGTGGGTGAACCTGGGAATCCTACAAGATTTGGCCGAGGGATATTATTGAAATCTCTGAAGATTTTTCTTAACTTGCCAGATTCAGCATTCTTCCATGAGATCCCACAAGGTTTTGTTGTTCTCTTGTGAAAAACTTGCAGGATTTGGACAAATGGGAGAGGGGGTGTGGTTTGGGTCCAACAGATGTTTTATCACCAGTGTTGATAAGTCCAGTGTTGCAGTCTATATTTTTATACCCCACAGAATACTTTGTCCAGTGTTTCTGAACCTTGGCAGCTTGAAGATATGTGGACTTCAACTCCCA